TCCCACACCTTCCCTTTTACAATTCAGACAAGGCGTGGCTTCCTAATGCCTTCTCCTTTGCCTTTGGAGCCGCCCCATTGCTTTCCTCTGTCTTACTTGCTTCTCTTGCCTGTGCATTCGTGCAACCGGGATTTGTCCCAGCTGTTCTTCATCACTGTCCAACTCAGGCTCCCAGCACAGCTGTGTCTCAGCCTGAGCAGGAGTAGAGGGACCAGGCTCCTCATCCGACTGTAAGTCTTGGAGCTTCTCAGAGCCTTCCTCTGACTCTGATGTCACTCCAGGCCCCTCCTCCTCATCTGATTCCTCAGACTCAGTTGCCGGATCCACTGGCTGGCGAGGAATCACAATATATGTAAAGATAAGGTTCCTAGGTCTTTGACCTTTGCTTGCAAAATTCTGGTCAATAAATTTACTGTTCTAACTTTGTGTGTGGTTGGAAACGGAGCTGGAAGAGTCTATTAACCTTGACATCATAGCAACTTCCCAGACGTGATAGGTCACAGGGTGATGAGCTAGGTGGACTTCGAGCCCTTAACTAAATTATCTCGAGGCTGCTGAATCTGATCTGCAATGAATCTGCGCCGATATCACCTACTTGGGTAATGAAATGTCTGTAAGAAAACCACCACGCTCAGAGAGCACCAAGGACCCCGCAGTTCATCCCCAAGCTACACATATTCTCTTCTGTAACTGCTGAATCTTTGCATACATTTGATTTTCAAAGATACAAAATCCATGGCTGGATTATGCCCAAGGAAGACACGAGCAGAAATGTACAGGAATCTTGGGATAGGGGAAAGTAGCAGGCTTTGCACTGTAGATCAAAGGTTTCTGTGCATAGGACCCGTGCATGTGACACGTGCATATGACCCGTTTTATTAAAAAAGGAAGTGAACGGCATTTTCCAGTAGCTGTACTGGAGGGGGTTGGGGAGAGGGGTTAGGCAAAATGGAAGATAATGACTTATGATAATAGGATCACCCTGTGTGTGATTAAACAGCTCATTTAGGAGCAAGTACTAGAAGTTAAGAGACTTCATGAAATTCATTTTGAATGACTGCCAAAAGCCTAGAGTTCTCCTCTTACTTCAGAGCTGTTGTCCCAGTTCCCTTCCCCACTATATGCATAAGTGGGCCACCAAACAGAAAAAGTCACAAAAACTCAAATTTGGTGGTAGTGGTGGGGAGGCTCACGTGTTTATCTGGAAACTCTGGGAGTGCACCAATGAACCTGTACTTTAGCCAAGCCTTGTGCCTCATTTGGGGGGACAAAAATTGTTTCCTAGTTTCACAGCTTTCAAGGTTTCATTTTTTTTTCAAGAGCTGGAGTGGAGTCTTCCAAGTTTCTAGACTTCATTGCTCACAATTCAAAGCAAAGAAGAGAAGAAGGGAGAAAATTAGGTTGACATTCTACTTTTTAGATAAAGGATAGGGACTCCTACATCATACTTGAGTCTTTCACAATTCTGTGATTCTCTTGGTCTCATACACACATACACTAGTCTCTTTCTCATCCAATTTTTTTCCAAGGGAATAACCTGAGATCTGGATTTGCACAATCTGCTGTAGTGGGCAGATGGCTGCTCATGCTGGCAATGGGGATGGTTGTCATTCCGCCATCAGCCTCTTTAATGTGCAGATAGTTGTTTCTTGTCTGCACGACTGTGCACCGTCAGTGGTGTTGCAATCATTCCAGACAGAATGACCCAAGTTTGGGAAAAGTCTTAAGTCACTTAAACTTATTTGTCATTACTGCTTCCAAACCTGCAGCTACTAAAGTGATCTATATACATGTGACATAAATTTTCAATTACTGGTGCTATATCTACTCAGAAATAATCCCTAGTTAGTTCGATAAGCTTTCTCCAAGCCTTCAAATATGCACAGAATGGTGGCTTAATTTGTTTTCATATTTCTTTAACCTTAACTACTGTGGGAAGTCTCCCCCCCCCAGAGAAGGAAATATTAAAGAGGCAGAAAAGCATGCCCAGTTTTTCTTAATAGCCCCAAGTCTCCCTCCCCCAAGCAGAAACCAGCTCTGTAGAAATGCAGATGTAAATAATCCAGGAAGGTTGGAGGTCCCCAGCTAGAAGCTTAGGAAGACAAAGACACCTAAAATCTATATACCCCACCCAAACTCTAAGACAGGATATAATAGGATTAACCCACAGATACCAAAGGGCACACCCAGGTCAAAATACATAACACAGGAAACAATCTCAAGAGCCCCAGAGGGTATAAAAACCCACTCCCTATAGGTGCTTACTCTTTTTTTTCCCCACAGCCATCTTCCTGTCTGGCTCTCCTCTTCAATAAACCTTCTTTCTAAAGCAGTCGCCATGTTTTTATTCCTGGCTTGGACTGAACCATGATGAAGACTTTTCATTCAACACTACAAATATATGTACTATTGCAACTGAAATCTTTCTGTTACTCAAAAATACAATGATTCCTAGATAGATCATGAACAGTATTAGTCTGAAACACTGGAGTTTTTAAAGAGATTGGGCAACCATTTGTCCAAAATGATATAGGGTTTCCTGCTTGAGCAGGGGGTTGGACTAGAAGACCTCCAAGGTCCCTTCCAACTCTGTTGTTCTGTTAAATTCTGAAAAGCATATGCAGTAAATCCTTTCCAGACATGAGGCACTTAATCCGGCAGAGCCTACTCTATGAATTCCAAAGGTGTTTTTTCACGAGGAACAGGACTTTTTTGTTTTTCTTTGAAGACGTTTTCACTTCTCATCCAAGAAGCTTCTTCAGCTCAGAAAAACAAGAAAAGTCCAGTTGCCTCGTGAAAAAGCACCTTTGGGAGAACTATAGCTTGGATGATTGAGAATCTCTATAGACATTTACTATATGAATTCAGCTGTTGGGTTTGTAGAACTGGGTTTAGGGCAGTATTTCTCACCCTCAGTAGATTTAAGACAGGTAGATGTCATCTCCCAGAATTGCCCAGCCTTAAATGCCTTAAAAACGGGTGGGCGTCACCTCCCCAAATCCCTCAGCCATCATGCTTTAAGATGGGTGGGGCTCAATTCCCAGAATTCCCTAGCGAGGATGCCTTAAGAAATGTGGGCTTTGACTCCCAGAATTCCCCAGACCGCTAAGGTTGGGTTTAGGGTTTAACGTGTTGTGTGAACCACATAGCTTCCGTTCCCAATTAGCAGCACAACGCATTGTCCATTGTTGAAGGAAAAGTCTTCATCATGGTTCAGTCCAAGCCTGGAATAAACAACATGGTGACTGCTTTAGAAAGAAGGTTCCAGTTTATTGAAGAGGAGAGCCAGACAGAAAGATGGCTTTGGGAGAAAAGAGCGAGAGCACATGTAGGGAGTGGGTTTTTATACCTTATGGAGCCTTTTGTTCGGAGTTGTTTCCTGTTCCTGTTTGAGGCTTTGTATTTCCTATGTCATGTATTCTGACCTGAGTCTGGGTGTGTCCTTTGGCATCTGTGAGTTAATCCTATTATGTCCTGTCTTAGATTTTGGGTGAGGTATATAGATTTTAGGTGTCTTTGTCTTCTTAATCTTTTAGCTGGGGGTTTCCAACCTTCCTGGATTATTTACATCTACATTTCTACAGAGCTGGTTTCTGCTTGGGGGAGGGAGACTTGGGGCTATTAAGAAAACTGGGCATACTTTTCTTCCTCTTTAAGATCCTTTGAGGAAATATATTTTTCTGCCCTTTTAATATTTCCTTCTCTGTGGGGCTGACTTCCCACACCACCATCGCTCATTTCTACAAGCCAGGGTTGATTCACACCCTTCATTTTTCCCAAATCTTTCCCCGTGCCAGCAGTTTCCCTCACCACCGACTTAAAAAGCATCTATTGTGAGGTATGTAGATTTTAGGTGTCTTTGTCCTCTTAATCTTTTAGCTGGGGGTTTCCAACCTTCCTGGATTATTTACATCTACATTTCTATAGAGCTGGTTTCTGCTTGGGGGAGGGAGACTTGGGGCTATTAAGAAAACTGGGCATGCTTTTCTTCCTCTTTAAGATCCTTTGAGGAAATATATTTTTCTGCCCTTTTAATATTTCCTTCTCTGTGGGGCTGACTTCCCACACCACCATCGCTCATTTCTACAAGCCAGGGTTGATTCACACCCTTCATTTTTCCCCAAATCTTTCCCCGTGCCAGCAGTTTCTTTCCCTCACCACCGACTTAAAAAGCATCTATTGTGCAGGAGATTGCACCTATCAAGGGAGCCCAACCCAACCCAGCCCGGGAAGCGATATGAGGGGGGGAGGACTTGGGGAAAGGGATGCTGGCAGCAAAAAGTCTTTTCTTTGTGAGGGAAAAAGGGCCTGCTGCCCCTTCCCCCCTCAATCCTCCGCTCTTTGTTCCTAGCCCAACCCTTCTCCCCCTCCCTCTTTCTTGAGGAGAAACCAGCTCCTGAGGCACGGCGGATTCCCGCGCTCCTCTCCCAGCTCCTCCCTCGCCCCCCCCCGCTGGGCCTTTCATCTCCGCCCCCACATTTTAGGATCTCCTTTTGTCCTCCCGACAGGAAGTCCACGGGGGGGGGCAGGAGGAGACCCGGCCGGGAGGGGTGGGGGGAGGAGCCAGCCCCAGCCTAGGTGAGCGCGAGGGCGGCGGAAGGAGGGGACTGAGGCGAGGGCAGCCGAGCATCCCCAAACGCTCGGCGCGCGCACCGCCCCCACCACAGCTCTCTCGCGCCCCCCCATATTCCCCCCCCCTCTCTCCTGCTGACGGCCGCCTCTTTTCTCCCCCGGCTCGCCCTCCCCGCGCCTCATTTCCTCGCCAGCCAGGCGAGAGGATGGATGGCAGAGGGGAGCCGTCGCCGCCGCCGCCCCTCTAAGCGAGAGAGGCCCTGCGCGGTCCCTTCCCGCGGCCAAAAGGGACCCGAGTCGCCCGCTGCCCTCGCTTGGGCTGGGAAGTCCGGAGGCCAGCCGGCCGGCCGGCTTCTGCATTCTCGTCGGCGGCAGCAGCAGCCTCGAGAACCCCGCGGCTAAGTGGGAGATCCGCGGGGCGTCCCTACATGGCGGGCCTGGAGTGGCCCGCCTTCCTTCCCGCCGGACCGTGAAGGAGAAGGCGGCGGCGGGGTGGGGGCGGCGGCGTCTCCCGCCCTCGACCTCCGCAGGACTGGCGACCTGGTTCGGCAGGGGCCGCGTGCGGAGGATGGGGCCGGCGCTGGCGCTCTGCAAAGGCCGGCGCACGCGGTTGCCGGTGGGCGCCGGCGCGCTGGGCTTCCTGGTGCTCTACTGGCTGTACGTCTTCCCGGTCTACCGGCTGCCGGACGAGAAGGAGATCGTGCCCGAGGTGCTCCGGCATCAGGGCAAAGCTTGGCGGAGGAACCTGAGCGCCGCGGCCGACTTCAGGTGAGCGCGCCTCGCCTTCTCCCGCGGGATGGGGCGCGTCTCGGTGGGCAGAGCCGGGGGGCCGGCGGGGACCGTCCATTCGACCACGCGGGGGGCTAGTCCTCATGAACACGCCCCCCCCCTGGCCGGTGTGCGGCGCGCTCGCTCGGAGCCAGACAAAGAAAGAGGCTTGAGTTCCGCAGTGGATCTTGCATGGGCGCCGCCGCTTTGGACGGCTTATAGACGCGCGTCTCTTTGTCGTGAAAACGAGGGGCGGCCGCTTTAGGAGGGTCTAGCCCCCTCTTTTAAAACCCGTCACCCCCCTTTCGGAAGGAGCCGGCGAGCCGGATTTTTTTTTAAAAAAAGCCGTGTCGTTGCAGATAAAATGCAGGGAGGATGAAGGTCTCCTTATCAAGACTAAAGGACCTTTGCTTTATGGCCGGTTATTATTATTTATTATTATTATTATTTATTGTATTTTTACCCCGCCCTTCTCCTTGCGGACTCAGGGCGGCTAACAGCCTAATAAAACAAATACAAAGATACAAAAATACTATCATTAAAAATATAATTAAAAGGAAATATTAATTTGGCCTTTGTTATTAAAAGTTATTTTAAAACCCAGCTAAAAATTACCCCTTAATTGAATGCAATATAAGCCTTCTCAGGTCACACCCATCCCAGTTAACGGTGGTGGATTTTATTTATTTATTTATGAAATTTATATACCGCCCTATCTCCCTTACGGGACTCGGCGGTGAACAGGCGATACTAAAAACCACAATAATAAATAAAATAGTTTCTGTGCTAAACTCGAACTAAAATTTGAACAGGGAGGGAGTTCACTTAAGTTGAAGGTAAAAATCCTGGTGATCTGAATGCATGGATTAAACACCATTAGTGCAAAGGTGGGGGTTACCTTCAAGAGATGCGCCCAGGGGTGTGTTTTTTTCTTCTTCTTCTTCAAAATGCAGCTTGGCTTCCTTTGTTTCGCCTTGAAGACGTTTCGCTTCTTCAGTCCCAAAAGTGCTTTTTTTTTTTTGAAAAAGCAGCTGGACTTTTCCTTGTTTTTCCTTAAGGATCTCATCCAAAACACTTCCTTCCTTTTTCTTCTGAAAAAGCTGCTTGGGTGAGAAGCAGAACATCCTCCAGGAAAAACAAAGGAAGTCCAGCTGCCTTTTCAAAAAAAGCACCTTTGGGGAAAAAAAACCGATGACCCTGGATGGCTGAAAATCTCCATAGACATTTAAGGAGGTTCAGGTGTTCTGCAAGAAGACTTAACACAAGATTGCAGAGGCAGTTCTTGCTTTGACTTTTTAACAAGTGTTCTCTTAGTCTGACCCAGCTGGCGGTATTTAAACCGTTAAAAATCTCATTTCCTTTTGGAGAGCTAAATTAGCAGTGTCTTGTGACAGTGAAATCAGTGCTTAGAGAGGATCCCTTTCTCCTTGTGCTTTCTTTTTAAAGAAAGGTTGCCTCAGCAATTCTTTTTGTGGGTTAAGCAATGTACCGTTTAGATCAGAGGTCCCCAATCTTTTGGGCAGTTTTTTTTCCTAGGGACCGGAGAGGGTGTGGTTTTGTGTGCTGCCTACAGGTCATGGATAGGGTTTTTCTGGTTTGTGTGGACCTTCTGGTTTGTGTGGACCGGTTGCTGGCATGCTGCAGCCCGATACTGGTCCGTGGACTGGGGGGGATGTTGGGGATCCCTGATTTAGATTACTGGTTTAGCTGGTGAGATATAAACACCATTTTTCAGAAGAGAATCTCTAGCTCAGGGTTGAGTTGCGGAGTTCTAGATGCTTTCTGAGCTTGATTGATTGATTGTTTGCTTGCCGACTTAATGACACAGCTCAGAGGGAACCAAGAAGGTCCACAAATATATTTTTCCCTGCATTCTTTCCACACTCTTTACAGTCCTGAACACTTAGGATCCAAGTCCATGTTGAATAGAAAGATCCAGAAATCTAGACCTAGAGACAAACATTTAATTTAGATTAGCGAATTGACCCTTTTTTGAACAAAATATATTGAATCATAAATTAAGCAAATAGGCTGATTTCAGACAGTTTGCTAATTCCTATCCCACCCATTCTCCCCCTTTTTTTTTAAAAAAAAAATCCATTTTAAAATTTCTTATGCATTGTATACTTTCTCCCACAATGTAGTTTCTTACACGTTTGTGCTCACAAATCCCTATAGCCGGGCTCTTGTCCAATTTATCCTATTCTGTGAGTGCAGCTATAAGATCTTTAATTGACTTGATTAAGCTTCCACTCTAATGATGCGATGTTTAGGGTTAAAAACAGTTCAGCCAAATGCTGACTGAAATCACTGCATTTCACTTTTTCTGCCGTTAATTTATATAGGACAATGTCTATGGAGATTCTCAGTCATCCGGGTCATGGTTGTCCAGTCATCCAGGCCATGGTTTTTTTCAGGAGGCAACTGGACTTTTCTTGTTTCTCTTTGAAGATGTTTTACTTTTCATCCAAGAAGCTTCTTCAGCTGTGACTGGATGTTTGGAAATGGAAGGATTTGTATTCCTTGCAGACAGCTGGTCATTTGCCTTTTAGAGAGTAGTTGAGGCCATAAGGAAAGCATATAAGGAATGGTTGCTGGAATTGGGTATGTCTCGTTTAATGAAGAGAAGGACCAGGGGGGGACATGATAGCAGTCTTCCAATATCTCAGGGGCTGCCCCAAAGAAGAGGGAGTCAAGCTATTCCCCAAAGCATCTGAAGGCAGGACAAGAAGCAACAGATGGAAACTAACCAAGGAGAGAAGCACCCTAGAACTATGGATATATTTCCTGACAGTTAGAACAATTAACCAATGGAACAACCTGCCTCCAGAACCTGTGAATGCTCCAACACTGGAAGTTTTTAAGAAGAGACTGGACAGCCATTTGTCTGAAATGGTATAGGGTTTCCTGCCTGAGCAGGGGGTTGGACTAGATGACCTCCATTCCAACTTTATTGTTACTATTATTACTTGGAGGTTTGTCTGTGCCCTCAGAGTCACCTGAGCACAATCTGTGCTTAGACTCTGGCATGAGAATGTACTGGTATTTGTAAAATTATTATATAACACACAACTACTATCACATTTGCATCTGTCTCTACGGCTGATTGTCCACATGAATACATGTTTGGTTTTGAATACAGCTTTTTCTTTTCATGTATTCAAGGTAGATGATGTGTTTGGGGACAATTACCCCTCTGTGTAGCTTATGCAGGTAGTCCTCGACTTACACTCACAATTGAGCCCAAAATTTCTGTTGCTAAGCGAAACATTTGTTAAGTGAATTTTGTCCTCTTTTACAACCTCTCTTGTCAGAGTTTTTAAGTGAATCACTGCAGTTGTTAAGCTAGAAACATGGTTGTTAAGTGAATCTGGCTTTCCCATTGACTTTGCTTGTCAAAAGGTCACAAAACGGGATCACATGACCCCGGGACACGGCGACCGTCATAAATATGAACCAGTTGCCAAGCATCTCCGTTTTGATCGCGCGACCACAGGGATGCTGCAACGGTTGCAAGTGTGAAAAACAGTCATAAGTCACTTTTCCCAGTGCTGTTGTAACTTCAAGCAGTCACTAAATGAACTGTTGTTAGTGGAGGACTAACTCTATGTGCTAGTTGTAGTATGCATTGCAGTTTTCCATACCCTGGATTAATATTTTTCATTGTAAACTTTTACGTAGGAAACATGTCTCTGATGGCATTGGAGTAGAAGCAAGATGCACAGAGCAGACTTCACAAATAAGTGTGCATTTGTGAAAAATGAGTAGATTTAAGCGTTGGCTCGTTCAGTGAATTTTGCTGCCTTGCCTTTTAGTAATGGTTCCCACGTTGTTTTTCATTAAAATAAAATAAAGAGCGAAAATAGCCTTTGGACCTATGCTGAATGCTTGGAAACTTGGAAATTGTGATGTAGGACAGAGGTCCCCAACCTTTTGGGCACCAGGGACCGGTTCCTTGGAGAGAGGTTTTTCCACGGACCAGAGACGGCGTGGTTTTTTGTTCTGCCTGCATCCCGCAGATGGGGCTTTGTTTGTTTGTGCAGACCGGTTTCTGGCATGCCACAGACCTGGGGTTGGGGACCCCTGATGTAGGAGATGGGCAGGCGGAGCCCGAGGGTGGGGTCAAACGCATCATCAGTTTGGAATCGCCATGCTCCCAACAAGAGACCTGAGTCCAGCCGCCCCCCCATGAATTCCATTGACTCTTATCTACCGCCAATTTGTCTTGTCTTTTAGTAGTTCAGATTCTTGTGTTTAGGTAGCATGAAATAATCTTGTGGTACGTTTGAACTCTATCTCGGCGCTTGGTTCCCCGCACCTGACGCTTTTCGGGTAACAAAAAAGAAATGTGCCGGTTCCCCCAAAAAGGAATTTCCAAGAAAGAAACTGACCCCAGTCTTTTTATATTTGGAACCATGCCTACTGAAGATTTTGATTGAGGATATTTACATAGATCAGAGATAAACATGAAAATGTATAATGAAAATTTAAAAAGAAAAGAAGTGTGCAAAAAGCAATCTAATAAAAGAAAGAAAAAATTCTTCCAGTCTTCTTTGCAGCAGTTACAAATGATAATAATAATAATAGTAAATTTTGAAGGGACCTTGGAGGTCATCTAGTCCAACCCCCTGCTCAGGCAGGAAACCCTATACCATTTCGGACAAATGGCTGTCCAGTCTCTTCTCCTCCCCCCCTCTCCCTCCCTCCCTNTCCGATGCCATGGATCGCTTTAAAGGTGGTAACTAACACCTTAAAGCGCACCCGGAAGACCACTGGTAACCAGTGCAGCTCGCGCAGCAGCGGTGTCACATGGGAGCGACGAGTCCCTCCCAACACCGCCCGCGCGGCCGCATTCTGGACCAGTTGGAGTCTCCGGGTGCTCCTCAGAGGGAGCCCCATGTAGAGAGCACTAAATGAACTGTTGTTAGTGGAGGACTAACTCTATCGTGCTAGTTGTAGTATGCATTGCAATTTTCCATACCCTGGATTAATATTTTTCC